AGTTTGTATGCGTCGAGCCATTCTCTCAGGACGACTCTATCTTGGGCGGCGCGCCTTTGAACTGCCCTCGGCTTTCCTCGCATGCGCTTGAGGAGGTGCGAATGCTTCGTGAGCCACTCCTGAGCCCATTTCTTTCTAACTTCACTCGCAGGTGGATTCGCTCGTTTATTGACTATCGAATTGACGGCTTGATGAAGGGCGAAAGAAGTGATCGCGGACCCTGGAGATCATGAGGTACGTTAGCCCTAGTCGTTCCGCAAAGCTGGCTTGCGGTTACCAAACTAACCGATAGAAAGCCTCCAGTTCACCCAGGCCAACAGGGCGAGATCCTCGGCCTCCGTAAGCAACTTGTTGTGCCCGCCGTTATTAAGACGAGAACCTACGCCCTTTAGCCGCCTTTGAAGCGTACGTTCATTGACACCGTAGTGCTTTGCGGCACGCGCGGCGCTTCTGAACCGGCCGGACTTGATATCTTCCACGGCCGCCAAAAGGCGGGCTTCCGCGACCCGGGCTTTGGACCGCTCGCCTTCGCTGGGTCTCCTGGCCATTTTGGTGGGATTTGTAAGTGAAAAACAAGCCGGTACAGCCTCTGATGGCTTGATTATTGCAGGCCCGCGCGGGGTTAATAGTCACGATCACGAGCACCGGCGCGCAAAGCATTTGCATTAAAGTCACGCTTTTTTCTTATTGTTGCAATCAGCCCGTGCGTCATGCAGTTGAGCGATTCATACCCCTGTCTGGCGGTACACAGGTTCCCAGCCAATTTTCTATGGGTAAAAATGTCACTAAAATCCGACAGATTGCACAGAATCCGACAGATTGCCCGACCGCGCTAAATCCCCAAAGGGCCGATTTTCGCGGGTGCTTTTAACCCGCGCAAGTATCCTGCCGCGCTCCCTTGGCAACGCAGCCTTCATACAGCGCGTAGTTTGTCGTGATACATCACGTCTTCTGAACCCGCGACAGAAGAATGAGTTTTCGACGTGAACTCGCCGAAACGTCGTCTGCACCACACAGGACCGTCTCAGACGCAACCCGCATTTCTCATTCCTACGAAATCAAGAGCAGGGCGCAAGAAAACAGTTCTCAGCTCTGCCTCACGGCGACGGCTCTCGTTCAACTAGGCCACCTGCCGAACCGCCACTGCTACTTCTTCCGATGCTGCAACAGAACGGAATGAGGCAGGGACGCGCTCAAACCGAGACAACGATGCGGAAACTCTTCCGGTTACTGAGAACGGGCATCTAGAGACTGAGTCGGAACCCCGCGTCATCCCACCAGAGCGCACCCTCAATTTCTCTTGGACCTTCGGCCTCGGTATAATTGTCTTTTACCTTGCTACTTTCATTGTCATTATGGTCCTGCGCGGCGTGTTGCCCGTCAAGTCGCTCGTCTTCAGCTTCTTCGCAAACATGTACCTCGCCGGAACTATCATCTTCGGCGGAGGTCCCGTCGTTGTCCCCCTGCTCGCGAATACGTCGTCGCCGAAGGTTGGGTCACTTTGCACGGGCGGGCCGATAAAGTATGCGGGCGCCTCTGTGCTGCAATACGTGGGTTGAACCGGCCGAGCCACGCAACGGCGGTAAGAACGAGCTGACCGCACGTGGGATGGTGGTGTAATTGCTTTTCCGGCGATAGGGCTTGCGCGGCATGTTGGAAGAGCGGACGGGGCTCTATCGGCAGGGGCTACTGGGAGGTCTGCTCGGTGGTTCGGAGGCGCTAGCAACGGTGTGAGTGGGGCCGTGGCTTGCGGGAGGCCAGGATGAATTCCCTTCCCGCCTCCGGAGAGACCGACGATTGTGTGCAGCAGACTAGGCTGGAGATGAATCCTAAGGCGGCTCGGCAGATGGATGATTGGCAGAGACACGAGAGATTGCGAGAGTGGTTGCCCAAACTTTCGATAGTTCCTCCTGTTTGTGGTGTAGCCCTTTTTTAGGCCTACTGACTGGCTGCGAAGAATGGCCGAGTACCGCGGAAGCCATACTACCAAACCCATGGGCCCACCTCTTGAAATACATCAATTGCATATAAACGAGGGAAACCTGCTATCTCGAAAGCAGGAGACAAAAGAGACCAGCAGCGGTGAACCATGGCCTCCCCAATCTCTCCAAAGCGATTTGCCTTGCTCGTCGGCATCGACCAGTACTCGAGCGATGGCTCAAGAAAGGGTGAAAATGGAAAATCGCTCTCTCTTGGAAATCTTCGCGGCTGTGTCAACGACGTCCGGGCGATCGCAGACTTCCTTCGAAATGAACTCCAACTGCAAGATCCTCGCATCCTTCTTTCCCCAACCCTGTCGAGCTCCTCCGCTCCTACAAAGCCAACAGATCTTCGGCCCACGTTCGACAACATCAAGAAGGAATTCGACAGCGTGGCCGAGCAGGCTGGTCCTGGTGACCTCTTCTTCTTTCACTTCTCTGGGCATGGCGCACGGCTGCAACCGACAAGCAAATCGCCCCCTGGGAGGTCGACAGACCCGTCTCTGATGACGATGGACTTTTGCTGCGGAAAGCCTGCAGTGAGGGGATGGCAGTTGAACGAATGGCTGAAAAGGCTCAACGAGAAAAAGATTCGGACCATTGTCACCCTCGACAGCTGCCACTCTGGCGGCGCCTTCAGGACCGGTGGAAGTTTTCGAACTCCGGAAGGCTGGACAACCATCCCCAACCTTCCCGCCGACGAAGAGGCCATCGCAGAAATGGCTATCGAATCGGGCAGCCGTGATGGCGAGCTGGAAACGTCTTGGTCCATCAACCCAGACGGATTTACGCTGATGGCAGCTTGCGAAAGCCACGAGCTGGCCGCAGAGAAAAGTGTCAACGGAGTGTCTCACGGCGCATTCACCAATGCACTTTTGGCGTGCCTCAAGCAGAGCCGGCCAAGCGAGTCAATCGTGACTTATCGGACCCTGCGCGACCAGATAGTCACACGGGTCAGCGGACAGACTCCTCGCGTATTCGGTCGAGACAGGCTGGTGTTTTTCGGAGACAAGGAACCATTCTCGGCAACACCCATCGTCGTGAGACTTAAAGGAGAGAGGATTTATCTTCCTATCGGAAAGGCTCACGGTGTCCGGGAGAGGTCCGAATTTACAACTTTCCCACCTACATCGCACGCAACATTTTCGGTGGATGACATCGACGACTTTGAATGCAGCGCTCCGGTGCCATCGGCGGTCCTCCGCGAGCAGACTGTGCAACAGCACCACTATCAGATTGTCCCATGTCGGTGGAGTTTGGGGAATGAGGTGCTCCAAGTGCTTGCCCATCCCAGCCTGGGGAGCGAATTCCAGCAGGCGCTTCATGCAGCTCTTCAGGATACGATTGTTGGAGACATCGAGATCACCGAATCCAACGACAGCTACGGAGCTGACTCGGCCGTCTTCGGGGTGGCGAAGCGCGGCGATGGCGGCATCGACCTTGCCGGACCTCCGTCTTTGACCGGGTACGAAGGTCCGCTGCGCGGGTTGGACCTCACGGGCAACGTCGCTCAGCTGGCGTTAAAATCTGCAGTGGCTCTAGCTCACTTGGTCCGGTTCGGGCAAATCCTCAGCCTCAGTGGCAACGCCTCGCCGCAACTTGCGCCGTTCGAGCTGATCCTGAAACCGAAGGAGAACCGGGGGCCCCGTCGAAGGGCCAGGGGATACACTTTGTGCTGAAGAACACAACCCAGTCTCAGCTCCACTTCACCGTTTTGGTCCTCAGTTCTGGATTTGGCGTGAAGCAGCTTTACCCGTCGCAGGATTTTCCACAATCGGTAGATCCGGGCCGCGAGGGTTCGTTCATCTTCAGCATCACGATACCTGACATCCTCGACAGCTATGGAGAGCAGCGAGATATAATTCGTACAATTGTCACGAAAGGCAGGCAGCTTTCGTGGAAGAGCCTAGAACTGCCTGGGATCTGGAATGCCGACCAGCTGGCCTACAAACGCAGTGGGTCAGGGAGGGATGCTGATCTGGAGTCCCAGTGTAGCTGGTGGGTCAAGGACAAGGTAATACTAACAACAAAGCAAGATGGAGATGGGATATACTGGATGTCACGCTTGGTTAGTTAGACAACGTTTCCTTCTCTTTCCTTCATTCGTCGATGCAATCTTTCGCACTTGTACTGTGTTGGTCGGCGCGAATCGTCTCAAGAAGATTCTGGTCGCCTGTAAAGGGTAATATGCAACTCCGAGGTACGCTGCGTTTGGCGGGAAGCCCTGCTCAGTAGGGGTTTTACTTCGGAGGAGCGGGTGTAGCTATAGGCAGGCTGGTACTTGACCCTTGATCGCACTGGGCTGGGAGGAAGCCTGCAGTCAGCGCACTGATAGCCCCATATTTTCGTAGTGAAATTGAGGAAGCCGTCGCTCGTGGCGTACGGCGTTCGCCCATGTACTGTGTTGTGATCGTCAAATTCGCGCGGGTATTTTCCATCACCAAATCCTCCGAGTGACTCGCCATACTCGAAAGGCCTGCCTTTATCCGAAAGACATATTCCGCGGAGACGCTCACATGCCTTCGGTCCAGCCGAGTACCGCGCGCGGGAATTAATGGCAAATGCTTTAGGGCAGCATAAACATGGCGGCCGTTTAGTGGTCGGTTTACGAGTGGGTTACAATTAATTGATGCAGCCTACGGGTCAATGAAAGAGCATTGATTCTCGGGAAGGTGATTACGGCGAATGCAAGCTCTGCCAGCTGAAAGCTGAGTTGCTGCGCGTGATAGCTGTTGCAGCGTGATAGCCGCTGCAGCGTGATAGCTGCTGCAGCGTCGCATCGCACACTGCCGTACCAACTTCGTGAAATGCGCAGCCAGTATCGAAAACGACGGGTTTCCAAATGCAGTCAGCTGCACTAGTTTGTGGCCCGGCTGTGGCTCTTATCAGGGCAGCTCGGATGGAATACATCACCCACTATTAGTTACTCGATACCAAAACCGGTTCTATTCTGGCTTTCAAGCTTAGAAAATGGCTGGATGAGGTTTATCCTGGCAGAAACCTCGGAGTACGAAAAGCCGTTTCGAATCACTAAAAGACTATTTTAAACAACAATAACTTCGGACTGGAGCGATGGCAGACCTCGAGGAAGCCATCCGAACAGGCCGAGAAGCCGTCGATGCCACCCCGCTGGATCATCCGGACCGCGCTGGGTGGTTGAACAACCTCGGAATTTGTCTTCGCGACAGATACTCTCGGACTGGAGCGATGGCAGACCTCGAGGAAGCCATCCGAACAGGCCGAGAAGCCGTCGACGCCACCCCGCTGGATCATCCGGACCGCGCTGGACTGTTGAGCAACCTCGGAGTTCGTTTGGGCGACAGATACTCCCGGACTGGGGCGATGGCAGACCTCGAAAAAGCCATCCAACTCGGCCGAGAAGCCGTCGATGCCACCCCGCTAGATCACCCAGACCGCGCTATGTTTTTAAACAACCTCGGAGTTTGTCTTCGCAACAGATACTCTCGGACTGGGGCGATGGCAAACCTCGAAGAAGCCATCCGAGTAGGCAAAGAAGCCGTCGAAGCCATCCCGCTGGATCATCCGGACCGCGCTATGTTTTTAAACAACCTCGGAAATCGTTTAGGCGACAGATACTCTCGGACTGGTGCGATGGCAGACCTCGAAGAAGCCATTCGAGTAGGCCGAGAAGCCGTCGACACCACCCCGCTGGATCATCCGGACCGGGCTGGGTGGTTGAACAACCTCGGAGCTCATTTACGCGACAGATACTCTCGGACTGGTGCGATGGCAGACCTCGAAAAAGCCATCCGACTCGGCCGAGAAGCCGTCAACGCCACCCCGCTGGATCATCCGGACCGCGCTGGGTGGTTGAACAACCTCGGAGTTCGTTTAGGCGACAGGTACTTTCGGACTGGGGCGATGGCAGACCTCGAAGAAGCCATTCGAGTAGGACGAGAAGCCGTCGATACCACCCCGCTGGATCATCCGGACCGCGCTGGACGGTTGAATAACCTCGGAAATTGTCTTGGCAACAAATACTCTCGGACTGGTGCGATGGCAGACCTCGAGGAAGCCAAAAAATACCATTCTGCCGCCCTCCGTCACCCTACATCCGCTGTAAGCATACGTATCACAGCTGGACGCCGTCTCCTATCATCTCCAGCCATTCTTAAAGATGAACAAGCATATGCCATCGCCAAAACGACAATCGACTTGATTCCCCTATTGACCCCTCGTTCTCTGCAAAACTCCGACAAGCGGCACCTTTTGTCCGCGGCCGTCGGACTATCATCGGACGCGGCAGCCATTGCTCTTTATGCCGGCAAAGGGCCTACTGCTGCTGTCGAACTGCTAGAAACCGGTCGTGGCGTCATCGCCGGAGCCCTTTTTGAGCAATCCGACCTTGGCGCTCTCGAACGCGCACACCCCGACTTGGCGCGCTCTTTCGTCGACCTTCGAGATCAGCTGGATACACCACCCCAGGGACACTCCCTTGTTGTAGCTGAGCACCGCACTGTGGCTGCTGAAGCAGAAGACGGTCGGCGCCTCAAGGCAGGTCCTCGGCTCGCCGGTCTGCTCGACACAATCCGTTCCAAACCGGGTTTTAAACGATTCCTCCTTTCGGCGTCGGAAGCCGACATACTGGACGCCGCGCGACAAGGCCCGATCGTCGTCCTGAATGTGAGCTCGTATCGTTGCGATGCTTTGGCCATTGAGCAATCCGGTATCCGATTGCTGGAGCTGCCACACGTCTCCCGAGACGCCATTAACGAACACGCTCGGGAACTCAAAACTCTCGCTACGCTTGGGTGGCTCTGGGATGCCATTGTCTGTCCCGTTCTTGAAGCTTTAGGCTTTACTGGGCCTCCATCGGACAGTCAGTGGCCGCACGTATGGTGGGTTCCTACCGGTACACTGACCCGGTTTCCACTCCATGCAGCGGGATACCATTTGAGACGCACCGGCGAAACGGCGGTCGATAGAGTCGTTTCATCGTACGCCTCCTCCGTGAAGGCGATTATATACAGTCGGCGACGGCCACACCAAGCAGCAGCGGCCGAAGACTTTCGAAAGGCCGTCGTCGTTGCCATGCAGAACACGCCAAAACAGCAACGACTCGAATATGCAAGCGACGAAGCTAATGCGGTGGTAGC